AGCATGAGGGAAGTGGTTGAATTGTCTGCAGTTACGGGGGTGAGGAGAAGACATTGGCTGCTTCTACCAGGTCTAGAGGAGGTGCATCAGGAGTGTGGCCAGAGTGCACAGATATAACAGCATCTTTTACTCCTAAGCGGCAGGTGAACTTTGGCTCAGCCTTGAAGCTGCTCTAAGCTATGCTGGCGACTGAATAAGTTTGTTGCCTGGGGGAGAGGGAAAAACAAAGGTGGCTTAAAATCTCCTTAGTCTTCTGTCAAACTGAGCCAGAGTTGAAAATGCTATTTAAATAAAATGCCTGCAGACCTTGTAGTTGAGCTCAACATAAATCCAGGAGGTGTGGGCTTCCTAAACCAAACACCATTTCAGTAGGCTGCTTACTCTGAAATGTTATGAAGTCCTGATCTGTTTAGCAGGAGGATCCAGCAAGTGTTTCTTTCCCACCATCTGGACTCTGTCCCAAGATGACCCAGTTGCCAGAATATCCCCGTTTCCTGATAATGCAGTTATGTCCTGTCAAAACAGACAGCAGCAGCAGCACCCCCAAACAGTGAGGACTGCACAGTAACATGAGCTGCCCGGCCCTGGCATGCAAATTCTTTGCAGTGCAGAGTTCATTGGTTACTTCAGGAAGCCCAGTGGGTTGTTCCAGAGTGATGCAGGGGCTGGATTCAGCTCACTGCAGTGTACATGGGACCTGAGCTAAAGAAGTAAATGGGATGTGGAGTCTTCCCTGCCCCCTCTCGCCTTGGTGGTGGCTGATCCTTCCTGTGGCAGGCCAGTAGGGGGTGCTCCTGTGCCAAGACACCCGCCCCACTTCACCCCACCAAAAACCAGGCTTCAGATGCCTTCCCAGGGACAGCAACTTCTGGTCAATCCCCTTCTTGGAGCACACCTGCAAGCCTGGGGTACCGCTACCACCACCCGGACTCAGGCCTTTATCTGGGCCCTGTGCTGCCTGGGATACACAGGCCCTGTAGACCTTGGGATTGTAGAGTGCTTTTATTAGCCTGAAGCATAGAAAGTAGCCTCCCTTAGACAGCCGAGCAAAGGGAGCAAAAAAGCCTTGCCCAATCCCTCTCCCAGCAAGAGTAAGTACCACCGAGCTTGTTATAGCGGAGAGCATTATTGGTTAAAGAGAGTAGGCTTGGGGAAGGCTACAGGTGGAGAAATGTCAAAAAATAACCCAGAGCAAACAGTACTGTTTAGTAGCCTTTTGTTATGCTTCTACATTACAGTAAGCTATATTTCTAGATAAGTTTCAGGTAAGTTACTCACAGGTATCACCCAGAAGCTGATTGAGCTTCCTCTGGAGGCAGGCAGTGCATTGTGTGTCAGTGAGTTTTAAGATGCCTCTCCTCTCTCCCCCAGGATGGAGGGACCCTTAAATAACCTTTTTTGACCTTACCTTCAAGAACCAGTCAAAAGTAGGTGTTGTTCAATGCCAACCAACCAATTTAAAAAGTATCACAGTCACCTAAGGGTGTGACATGGCTCAAGCACCTGCCCCCATGCCATGAGGTCAGTGCTTAAAACAATAGAGACTAGGTTCACTTCCCCTGTACCTGCTTGAGGTCACATGATAGCCATAACCCAGGGCAACCAGGTTGACAGACAGGTGAGGGGACAATGACAAAGGAAAAAAAACTAATAAAAGACTGGGATGGGATTCTTCCACACCTTGCAGTAAGGAATAAGGGATAGGGTGATGGGGCTTGCATCACAGTTCAAACTGTTAGGAGTCAGGGCAGCAAGCAGGTGAAATTGCCTCCAGTTGGCTCTGGTTACTGAGAGGGTCTGACTGCCAGTAGCTTAACTAAACCCAGCTGGCCATTGTCCGTATGGGAGCGGCTGCCTGCTTAAAAGCAGCGGCTCGGTCAGAACTCAGCAGAACAGACGCGTCTTTGGCTAGCCGGCTGCTTCCGACTCCTTGTTCTTAGTTTTGTGATTCTCGCCCTTGATTCCTGGGTCCTGCCTCTACGTTCCTAGTACCCTAGGTCCTGCTTCCCTGGTTCTGGCTCCCTGTTCCTTGGGTCCTGCTTCTTGGCTTCATCCTTGTTCATGGTTCCTGACCCTTAGTGCTTCCAGACCACCTTGCCAGATCCTAACCCCATGTGCTCCAAACTATAATTCAGACCCCTGTCCTCTGACAGCAGACTCCTGGCTTAGCTTGGTGATCTCCCATGTCCCAGCCCCATGTAGCTGCCTACTTTGATCCTCTGAGTAAAGGTTCATGTGCATCCCTGCCTCCTATTGCTGAGTCCCCTGGGCTTGTGGTTCTACTCAGGGTGACTGTCTAGGTCCTGGTCCTATACAGACCTCAACCTCCTGATTGCCTGACTTTAGTGTGGACCCTTGCTTCCTTGACCTTGTCTATTACTGATTCCCTCATGCCTCTTTTGAAACAGTTGGCCTCTAAGGTGCTACCCTGCCTTACCTTCTGCCTGACTTCAGACTAACATGGCTAACTATCTCTCTGATCCCCAGGGTTGTGACCCTCTATAGCAGGGGTGGGCAATTATTTCAGCTGGAAGGCCACTTAATGAGGTTTGGTGAGCTTTCAAAGGTCACATGGGTAGGCCTTCCCCTTGACAGTTGCCCCATCCCTTGCTTGCCATCTGGGGACCAGAAACCCTGCCCCTAATCCCTGACCTTTGCCACCAGAAATCCCTCCCCGTGCCCCCCAGAAATTCTCCTTTTGGGAGGGGGGGGTTGCCATCTGGAACCAGGAAAAAACAAAACAAATCATACGCTAAAAGTCAAACACCTACTATAACATATTTTAACTTTATTACAAAAAATATTTTTGTCATGATTTGTGTTTGTGTACAATAACTCAAAAATAAAGTCTTAGTTTTGTTTATTGTGTGTGTGTGATAGGGTGTGTGCGTGTGTATGGTGGGGTGTGGGAGGGGGTGTGCTTGTATATGGGGGGTGTGGGGGTTGTGAGGGGTTGTGGCTGTATGTGGGGGGCAATAGGGTATGTTGGGAGGTGTAAATTTGGGGGGAGTTGTGGGGGCAGGGTGTGGGTATATGGCATTTGTGGGATGTGAGGGGAGGGAGGACCCCCTCTCCATAATCCCTCCCACGGTGCACAGCCTCTGTCGGTGTCAGTGGTGGTGACAACAGCAACGGCAGGTGGGGGGGCTCGAGGCACTCGTGCCCGGCACAGGTGCTGCTGCCCAGTGGCACACGGCTCCAGCCAGCACTGCACATTGCAGCAAGGAGCATAATCTGGCCAGGCTGCCTCTATCGTGTGTCACTCTGTGCAGTGCACATGCAGCTCCCAGCATTCGTGTACCACTGAAGGGAAGCTCCACGCTTCAGATCTAGCTGTCTTTCCCATCCCCTGCCACGCAGGTCCCAGGACTCTGAGGGGAAGCAGTGGCTGGGGCTCCTCTCCACTCCTGGTGGAGTCCCAGGAGCTGTGCAGCAGGAAGCAGTGAAGGCAACTGGCTCCAGCATACGGAGCTTCTCTCCAGTGACATGAGTGCCAAGAGCTGCACGTGCAGAGTGCTGTGCGATAGAGACAGCTCAGCCAGGCTGTGCTTCTCACTGTGATATGCAGCACTGGCTGGAACTGTGCGCTGCCGGGCAGCAGCACCTGCACGAGGCATGAGCACCCTGAGCGCCCCTGCTTGCTGTTGCTGCTGCTGCCACTGGCAAAGGTTGCACACCTTGGGGAGAATATGGTTGGGTCCTTACCCCACCCCCACACCACACACACACCCTGCCCACTGAAGCTCCATGCAGCCCCTCTCGTGGGTGCGTGCTCTGTGCTGTCACCAGGCCTAGACCCATGCTCCGCACTTCTGCCCAACTGCAGCTTCTTGCCCCCAGCACTTCGCTACTTGGTGCCTGGAGCAAGCCGGACGCCAAGGAAGCCGAACAGCCCCACCCAGAAGCTGCTTCAGGCTGGCCCAGGCCCTTCTGCACGTGAGGGTGGGAGCAAGGCGCAGTAGGGTATGTTGGTGGGGTGTGTATACGTAGGCACCTCACTCCCACTCATGGATGGAAGGGCTGGACGAGGTACAATTCACTGGTGGGCGCCACGGGCTGGATGAAAGTGCTTGGCGGCAGCCATATTTTGACCACCCTAGCTCTACAGTCAACCCTGACCACCTGTGTCCCAGTTGTACCCCTGATACAAGCTCTCTCCAGATTTCTTCCACTGGTCTGTTGTATTCTGTCTGGGGGCAAAATGTAAAAGTTAAAGCAAATCCTTGTCCCTCCTGTTTCTGCAGAGCCGTCTTCCCAATCCAGCTGGAGCAGGTGGCATGAATGTAAAAGATAGCCAGCAGCTGTAAGGCATATTTACCCCCTGCATTATCTATTAAGCTTCTCCACATGCGGCAGGTTGAACCACTATTGCAGCACTGCAGGAGTTCCCCACTTGATACAGCAGGCTTGCTATTCAGTATATTTGTGCCTCCCATCAGAGAGGTCTATTCTGCTCTTAGGCAGCCAGATTCTCAGCTGGTGTAAATAGGAAGCTATGCCAATTTTACACCAGCTGAGGTTCTAGCCAATTATGTGCTGGAAGGGGAAGGCCAAATAACAAAGCCAGGACAAGAGCAGACTGTGATTAAAATACCTCACAAATGGGAGTGTGGGGCTAGCTGTCAGGCAACCTGAGTTTTCATTTGGAGTCTGCCAGTAACTTGTATGATCTTGGTCAGGTCACTGACCTTGTTGTCTCAGCTTCCTGATCTGTGAAATGGGGATAATATCTATTGTTGTAAAATGCTTTGAAATCCCTAGATACAGGGCAATATCTACATAAGAGGGAGAGGAGGAGATTGTGGAGGGTAATGTACGTTCTTGGAAAAGTGCCTCCTTGTGTACCATGACCATTGAACAAGGAAAGTGCCTTGCAGGACCTACCCTCTCAGGGTGGATGTGCAGGGAGATCATGTGGACACAGGTCCCCTGTTCAGGCTGACCTCACAGTGCATCCATGGCATTATGTTCTGAGTCCCAGTGCTACTGTCTCCCAACAGCACTATCTGGTATGAGCTGCATGCACGGGAGTGGCCTTTCAAGACGCAACCAGCAGAGGCAATAATATGGCAAGTGGGCAGAGGGATGAAGCCCAACCTCAGCCAGATCGGCATGGGCAAAGAAATATCGGTATGTGATGCCAGAGAGTTTTAGGCCTATTGATGCAGGGGGAGGGGGTGAATTTGCTTCAACTGTGACACAGTGAGAAAATATTTGTTGATCCTCCAAAAATCACAATAGTAGGGTTGGCCACAGGAAATGCCCAGTGCTTTGCTGTGCCAGGGGCTGATGTTCACATCCTGCTGTCTCTGGCAGAGTAGACGGTTGGTGCAGTGGAGGCCCAGCAGCCCTACCTAGGAGGGGTAGGGCTAGAGTTCTGGCCAGCTCTAGATGAGCCTGACATATTTTTGATGCCCTGTCCAGTTCTCCTTGGCCAGAAAGAGGAAAGCAATTAAAGCTATGGGGTAGTAATGGGGAGAGCCTCAGGACTCAGGAAGATGATATACATTCTTTCCTCTCCCAACTGCAGCACAACTGCTCAGGTTCCCTGCATTTACCTAGTTTCTGCAGGGCCTGGAAGAGCATACCTCCTTGGGAGATCGCTACTACTGCCCACACCCCACTTCTGTAAGACTATGTTGTTAGAGATGGGGTTTGAACTACTGAGTTTGCACAAGCAGCTGAAGTCTGTCAGTTAAGCAGCTCGTGAGTGTCTCTTGATCTCCAAAGTATGCAGGTGGAGCCTGGGATTTGGTTCAGGCTGGTCTCTGTCTGCATAGGGACAGAGCCAGTCAAGTGAGGGAGAGGGCTGTTTCTGTTGTTTCATTGCTTTTCCTGTACATGCTGCAGGACATCCTTCTCTTCTGTTGGGCGTATGAACAGGAGGAGAGACCCACCTTCACCAAGCTCATGGAGATGCTGGAGAAACTGCCAAAGCGGAACCGTCGCCTTTCCCACCCTGGTCACTTCTGGAAGTCAGCAGAGTAAGACTCCTGCTCCTCTCCCTGGACATCCATAAGTTTGTTTCTTACTGTCCCTGGTGCTGTAATCAGAGCCTCACATGAGCCTCCTAGCAATGTTGCACATTAGCGTTGCAGTGATACAAAAGGGAATTAGGGCAGAATTAACAGGGAAACCATTCCGCCCATCCCACCTCAGTCTGGGTATTTCCAACAGTCACAAGGATCCTGCTGCCCCCATGCTGGGCTAGGAGAACAATGTCTCCCTAACACAGCAGCTCCTCGACTGCTGCCCACTGGTGATGCATGGAGTACAAGTTGCCTCGGAGCTGGCTGGTCACGTGGCACTAGCTTTTCTTGTTTCCAGCTGCTTCTATGGATGAGAGTCCTGGAGGGCTTTAAAAGCTGTTGGAAACAAGGGGTGGAGCCAGTTTAGTTGCCTCCACTGGAGTTGTGTGGTCCATGGAGAAAAAAAAAATAGGAGCAGTCATCAGGGCTTAGACATGCTGTCTGGCAGAGCTGACAGTCAGCCATTGGGAGAGGAATCTCTAATAGCAGGGGAAACAGTAGGAGTGGGCAAGAGAGGAGGAAGAAGGGACGTGTGGCCTGTGTGGGGGTGAATGGGGAGAGAGGGAGTTGGTCCATGAGGGAGTGAATATGGGCCAGGGATTTGTCTATTATAATATATCCACGCTCTGAAGATGCTGCAGAGCCTAATCATTCAAACTCTAGCATGGACTGTCATTGATTCAGCAATGGACCTTGAACTAAAGTGTTTCCAAAACGTGCCTTGTAGAAAAGCAATGTATGCTCCCTGTCTTGGTCAGACATGTAAGATGATGCGCTCTGTGTGTGCTTCTAATGCAATATTTGTATCGCTGGCTTGCCTTGCCTTCCACAAAGGCTGTTCATACGCGGACCGCGTTCACCTCAGAACGTTAGGACTTCAAAAAGAAGCAGCTGAAGTTTCCATACACTCTCTTTGAGGACATTTTTATTTCTTTGGGATAAAGAAAACCTAAAGAGGTGGTGATTTGTGGTCACCTTTTGTCTACCCCAGGACCACTGAGGTGCACATGGATCAAGAACAAGCATCTGAAGGGGTTTGTAGAGACATGGACAAAGCATATCTTCTAACACACACAGCTGAGGGCTGAATGCTGTACTGTTTCAATAATTTTATCCTAAGACTTAGGTCTCCCATTGGCTTCAGTGAACCTGTTGTCTGAGGAGGTCCTTGAACAGGGTCTCAGAATTTGGCCCTGTAATAGCAGAAGGGAGACCTCAGAATCCCCTACAAACTAACATGCTTCATTTTCCCCTCGAAGTTTCTTGAAGTGGGAAAGTCCTTTTCCATGCATCTGTTTTTCATTTATGATACCTAGCACATAGCCATGGAAATATACTACTTTGTAGCATGGGGTAGTACCACACAGGGTTTCATAAATTTACCAATTGGAGAAGAGGATTTCTCCTAATCTTGAAACCTATTTCTTGCCATGGAAGTTGGAGAATTGGATGGAAGACAGGACACTACAGGTGCAATGAATGGGGGAAGCTGTGCTAATCCACCTGCAAATACTAACCAAGGACTTCTTGTATTTCAACTCATCTTACTGATGGATGTATGTTTCTGGGAGCCAACCATGAAACATGAGATGTTGATTTCTCATCCTGCCTCTGGCAACCTAATCTCTCAGCCCTGGTGCAGTATCTCTATTCTGCAGACCCAAAGAAGCCACTGAAGCCCAATTTACTCTTTGTGCTCCTTTCCTTAAACTGTAGAATACTCCTAGGTCACTTTGGATAATTATTCCCATAGAATTGCACTGTCCTTCCCTAGTGAAGTTCCTGCTGCTCCATCATTGTTATTGCATGCACTGAGGCAGAAAGGAGACAGGTTTTCAGCAAAGCTGGAACTAACAGCACACTGGTCTTTCAGAGCCTAAAAACTAGATGGTCCATTGTGAACCATTGATCAGGACTGGTGTTAATTTCCAGTTCATGATCAGAATACATACTACAGTGACCTTCACAAGGAAGGTGAGAAGCTGGTGAACCAAAGGCAGTACGCTCTAGACTTGCTTGGTTGTGTTTGGTCCTTTAAGCAATTGCACTTAAGGTACTGTAATAATTGTGCCTGTACTATGACTGCTGGCAAACTTTTGCTGGTTGGCAGCTTGCCCCTAATTACTGTAATTCTGAGGCCCTCTGTTTAGTTAGCTACACGGAGATGAGGAGTGAGGAAGAGGGTTTCAGTGCCGCAGTTGCTTTCTGTCAGAGGTGTCTATCTGGCTCCCTCATTAAGGACAGCTTGGCGGCTACTGGCCTTCTCTTGCTGCTCTTTCCTTCAGAGCAGTGTCTCAGAGTAATGAGAGCTGCATTATGCATTTTAGTAATGATTTGCTTACTCTTTGGCTGCACTCACCCCTGGTGACTATTTACTGATCTCTGTGGGAGATGGAAATAGGGCTGTCCCAAATATACTTGATATGGTACTATAGTCCCCCGTTGCTATATCAGTGATGGGTTCATTGCTGATGTGAGCATTACAGTCCTCTTTCCATTCCTCTCCCCCCAGGCATGGGAAATTTGCATGTGAGGAGTGAAGAGGTCTAGTAACTTGGTAACATGGATGCAACACCAGTAACATGATAGTTTAGTAAGAAGCGTGCCCCTGTTTTTCTTGGGTCTTTCTTGCTCTTTTGGCTAAGGTGAAGAATGATGTCAGGTGGATATGGGATCTGTCTGGAGACTTCTTGCTCCCTTGGCATAAAAATGGAGTAGGTAGTCTGGTAATTTTTTCCCACCTACTGTGATTTGGCTGCTGCGTAATCATATTTCTGAGGAGAAGGCCATAGATGGAAACTAAAGGTTGTCTGCAAGGTAGAATGGCCACCTTTAGTCACAATGCTTCTTGCTGCCTGGGATAATGATAATTTCTCCCTCATCTGCTGTTATGAGGACTAGTGGATCTGCAGTAGAAGGACTTCCTTTGTCTTCTTCTACTGTGTGCTGTCATGCAAAGGGCATTATTCTCACGGGTGATCATGGAGATGGGGAACTCCTGGGTCAAGCAGGACTTGTTGCTCTGACAGCATTATGTGACAGAGCCTTATGATGGGGCTGAATAGAGACATGTTGTAATGAAGGGCTCATTAGCAATGACAGATCAGATCCTCACATGCTAAGGTAATGGCAACCTAGATAAGATTGCATATGTATAAAGTACATAAAAATAATTTTCTCCACCACTGATCTGGGTAATTAAACTATGGGCTGCTTACACCAAAAAGTGATGCAACTTTAAATGATGTGGGAGGGTGGGTCTGTACAAGCTGTCAAACTGTGTTCATGGTAAGGCCCCAATGTGTAAGAATCAGTGGAGGTTTTTTTAACTTTACCTGTCCCAGGTTGCTTCTAACCACTGAGTAACATCCACAAGTAACAGCATTAACCTGTTAACTCCTGCATGATTCTTGAGATGAATAAATTAATGCATGGTCATGGGGTCCAGATAGTCCTGCTCGATGGTGGGTGGCAGCTTTCCTATGACATTTGCTTCCTTTGGAATAGAATCTGTAGATATTGCTCTGGTGCTGATTGCTGTCTGTCTTGTGTCTCCACCGCAGGCTGTGACAGATGGAGTGAAGGGATGGTGCCTTTCTCAGCCCTTCAGTTCTCCTCCTCCCCTTCCTCTCTCTTTCCTCCATGCACTGAAGAAGACCAGAGGGTACTATGGACTGGGAACATGAAAAGAATAAAGACGCCTCTCCATCCTCAGATGTTATGCTAACTTCCTCTCCAGAATGAATGTCAAGCTTGCGCTGGCCAGGGGCTATGCAGGATTTGCTGTGATGACCTCAAATGGCTTCTAAGGGCAAAAAGTCTGGAGAACCAACAGGTTGGAAAGTCTCATCACTTGAGTGCTCCATAGACTTTCCAAGGGGCCTGTCCTCCTGCATCTGCTCCAGCAAAGGCTATGAATAAGGGATGTGAGAAGGTTATATGCGTGCGTATATATGCGCATGGTTGATCTTTCAATATTTTCCCTACCGATTCCCACTGAGCAGGGAGAAAATGAACAAGCAAACAGCTTCATTTCAACACGATAGATTTTTTGATCCCAATCTGTGTGGTCATGGCTAATCTGGTTCATTTTCAGGGGTTGGTTTTCTTTCTCTCTTATTTCCCTTTGTGCTTTTAAAAAAAAAGAGAAATGTTGCTGATTCATCAGTTTATTACTTGAGCCTGTGCCTGCCTGTGGAGGGTGTGGGACTTTCGCTGCTATCAGCTGACTCCTGCAGGGCAGTGCTTCTGCAGAGATGGCGTTCCCAGAGCCCTGCTCCCACAGTTCTCTCCAGAACCTTAATGGACATCTGTGACCTTTCACAAGTGGCTTCTCTACCTCCCAGCTATAGCCATTTACTCTCACCCCCTCCATGTCTCCCTCTCAGCATGGAGCCTATCCATATTCATTTTTCTTTTAGCATTTTGCACTGTCTTGTATCTAATCAGCATTTTTTTCTTAGCTTCTCTGTGCTGCAGCTTTCCAAGCTCAGTCCTTCCCTCTTTCTGTTACCCAAGTAAAGTTATATGTGCAGCAGCGTGTTTCTTTCAGACACTGTGCCCATCTGACTAGGTGGACCCATGCAAATCAGACAGGTAGCCATGTGGCCATACTCAAACAATACTAAGGGGTTGCACTCTGGTCAAAAGTGTGCCTGCCCTGCTTCTGAAACAAACCCAGAATGCACTCTGTTTGTGTGTGTATGTGTCCATGTTTTAGATATTTATATAAGGAGAAGACCGAGGGGAGATATGATAACAGTCTTCAAATACCTAAAGGGAGATTATAAAGAGGATAGAGAGAGCCTTTTCTCTGCGGCTGTATGGGACAGGACTAGGAGCAATGGCCGGAAGCTGCAACAGAAGAAATATAGGTTGGAGATTAGAACGAACTTTGACTCTGAAGGTGATCAGCCGTTGGAACTGGCCACCTAGAGAAATTGTAGATTCTCCACCCCTGGAAGTTTTCAAGAGGAGGTCAGACAGATGCTTGCCTGGAATGGTTCAGTCAGGGATGAACCTATCTTGAGCAGAGGGCTGAACTAGATGACCTCATGACGTCCCTTCCAGCCCTACTTTCCTACGATCCTGTTTATTAAAACGCGCTCGTGAAGCCCTCAGCTATCCAAGCATAAGCTGTCTGTAGTTAGAAAGAAACTTTTCTTGCAGGTAAATTATTCCACAGTTGTCCACTGTGGGGTTTTTGCATCTTCTTCCAATACATCTGGCACTAGCCACTCTCTGTGAAGATGCTGGATTAGATGGGGATCAGGTCTGGTCTGCACGAGTGCTTCTTATGCTGCTTTCCCCTCCCCCCAACTCCATTTGTTTTCTTGGTGGATGGGATGGCTTAATGTTTGGTACTGGAGGGCTAAACCTGTAATTCCAGTTCAGTGCTACCTGGGCTATCAGTGGCCAAAACTTTCTTCCAGCTTATGACTTTTGATTATCTAGTTTAGCAAATATTGTTTGGCAATGTCAGTTAAGGTCCCAGGGGATCACCGCTATCATCACAAGATGCAGCCTAGTTTCCAGTCACTGCCGGGCTGAACAAGGTTTGAATTGAAATCTTAGCTCTGGACGTACAGAGTTGAAGCACACTGGTGAGAGACAGTTTCGCCAGTCTTGCTGTACTTGTTGACAGAAACTTGCCTTCTTGTGGCTCTCAGCCCTGGACCTTACATAAAGGCTGATATTGCAGCTATTTGTCTGCAACACTCACTTGTTATCATAACCTTGGCTGTCTTGGTACATATTTGGGAGCTGGATGAGTAGCCTGTATCCATTTTCAATTTATTTGTGTAATTTCTTTCTTTCTCTGATCACGCTGAACCTCATCCCCCTCACGCTGTATTCTCTGAAGAGCTGCTCTGTGGTCAGCATCTTACTGCTGCTGTTTTCATTTGAATACCACATGCCTGTATTTCTCTCTCACAGTCAGTTCTGACGGGCCCTTGAGCCCATTATACTAGATATCAAGTGACAGATGATAGCACATTGCATTTTCAAGCCCCTGTTGAGCATAATTACTTGACAGGAACCATCCTGAATAATTTAATCGTAGTATAAGTTAGCTTTAATTTGGATGCATTACAAGCTCTGAAAACTAGCCAGTCCTATTTTGTTTTCTGTGAATTACTTTAACTCACTTTTGATAACATTTCAACTGATTTAGCCTAAATAAATGAAGATGAACTTTCTCTGAAGCACTGCATTTTGGAAGAGAAAAAAAAACTTTGCTTGGATTGTGAGAACATTAAACAAAGCAGGCTTGTTCTGTTCAGTTTTCACATTTCTCTGTTTGTATAAAGCCCAAAGAAGGGAACAAGCTTTAGGACTAAACATACTTCCCAACTTTCTCCTGGTTTAAGGTTGTTGGAAAGCAGGGCATTTTGCTGAGGCTCGTCTCCAGTGCTATGAGGATGGGATTTTCAGAAATGCTCAGCATTATTCTAGCTCGGCTCTCAGTGCAGTTAATGTTAATTTTGATGAGAGCAGAGTAAACCTCACCTTCTGGGCCATGTGCTGTCATGTTCTGCCCTCAGGTACCTACACTCACTGCCTTCGTTTCCACTGCTCCACCCCAAATCAAATGAGAGGGTGAGGACAGAATTTGGCCCTGAGCATGCCAGTTACCCACACTGGGCGAGACAGCACAGCCGACTTCCCATTCCTTATGGCAGATGATGCACAGTTCACTTTGGTGCTGCTTTGCAGTCCTCCTAATCCTGATAAGAAAGACATGTGTCCTTATGCTTCTCTGAACCGGTTAATGTCTAAGGTGCCACCCTGCCCTGCCTTCTTTGCCTCTGGTCTTCTCTCTGTCTTGGTGGATCCACATGAGCATGGCTGGGTGCAACATCTTTGGGTCTTGAGGGCAGATAAGCAGGGAATGTGAGGAGACGCACCCATTCAAAGCAGGCAGGGGAAGAGGAGCCATGGCCCTGTGAGTATGTGCTACCACATCCCCTTGAATGTTTTTTTTTTTTTTCCATGGGCAAGGCTGGTATGGTGCCATCGTCTTTACCCTCCCAACAGTGGATGTTGTGCAAGTGCCACAGGTCCGTTAGTGTATGTAGTCTCTGCAGTACTCTGGGTAGCCCGTTTAATCTCATTTCCATTTTGTTCCCAATCCTTTCACTTTAACAGTGGTGGTATCAAAATCTGGCTCCAGGTTCTTCTGCCACACTCACCTTTCTTGTTCCCCTCCTGTTTCTCAGCTGCTAGCATGGACCAACTTCATGATATGCTGGGCAGCAAGAGACACATTTTCAGCCTTGTTCTCTTTAGTACTTTCTCACTCACAAGTTTTCTTGTCCTTCTGGATGTCTGTACTTCCTCCTGCTACTCTCCCTTACCCCTGCATGCCTCCATCTGTGCTTGTGTGTGACTTGTGCCATAAATGATGCACTAATCCTCCACAGAGTTGGGCTTAGATGACCCTTGAGGTTCCTTCTGACCCTGTGATTCTGTGAGTTTCTCGGAAGAAGTTTCACCAAGGCCTTCACTGTGTCTGGATGGAAATACCCATCTTCTAAGTCACTGTACCTCCTGTGAGAACAGAAAGGAAAACGCTTCCAAATGTATTCTGCAGGAAAAGATTGTCCGCAAAGATTTGTTCATCTTGTGTTCCCCAAGTCCCTTTCCTCCCATTCAGTACCTGAATTCAGGGTTGGTGGGTTGTCTATGCAGAGAGGATGGGTGTGTGGGTCTACTTGTGTGTGCGTGTGGGGAGGGGAGATGGTCCCATTTGTAATATGTAAAAATCAAAGTAGAAATGAGTGGAAATAGTTTTTTTGTTTGTTTTTTGTTTGTTTTTCCTTTCCACCATTTCAACCTTTCCCTCCAGATAAGGGGCTTGTGACATGATGTTTGCACTTAGATACATGAGCACAGAGGAGGAAGAATGGAACGATGGCATCTTAACTTGAATATTTTTTTAACTTTGTGCAGTATCTGAATGGCTCAAATCAATTTGTACAAAACAAGGAGGCCGTGGGTTCCCTGAACCCCACACAGTAATAGACACAGTGGCATGCCTGCTTGCTTGATTGGAAGAGAAAAAAATGCAATTAGACACACCATTGCTTTGTGATGAAGGGTAAATAACTCTGTCCAATCTCAGCCGTGAATGGAATCTCAGCTTTTCTGATGCCATCTTCATGCCAAATTGCATCATACTTTGCAAGTTGTTAAACAGCTTTGTGTTTTTTCAACCTCCCCATGTCCTGCTGGTGGGATGGAGCTGGTGTGATTACAGTTACCTGTTAGGACTTTCTCTTCCCCATCTTTCATAAGTTGAATGGTTTGCAGTGTTTGGGAATAATGAAGTTCCTTACGGCCCTATTGACTGATGGCTTCTGTTTAGCGATACAACAGGTACAGCATAGGCAGCAGGAGAAGGACTTCCCCTGTTATTGCTCCTACCAGTGAGCCTCAGTCTGCAACAGAGAAGTTGCTTGTGGTAACAGGGAGTGATGCTTAGTCTCTGTGCCCATTCATTTCTTAGTCTTTCTCCTGACTGCCAATAGAAATGCCAAGTGTGCTCTCAATCCACTGGACAAGTGGGCTGACATCACCCTCTACAGCATGAGCCAAAGATTCTTTTAAGGACTTGCTTTAAGCGGCTTTTGATATGAGCTGGCTTCATACTGGTGGCCCTGGAAGTGGGCAAGGGTGTTTACATGCGTGTAGCTGAGCACATAGTAATCCTCAGATATCATGAATAATAACAAGAGCGAGAACTCTTCCCTGTGGAATCTTTCTGAATCTCGCTTAGTGTATGTTGAATCCATGTGACAAATGTTAACTGCACACACAGTTGTATATTCAGACAAAGGGGCTACCAACAGGAGGTTTATGAGTGGTATTTAAACGCACTGCTTTGTTTTCTCTGCAGGAGGCAGTTGTTACGTCCCCAGTTCATGTGAGTGAAACCAGCTTGTTGCCCCATAAATGGTCCTCTCACATGAAGAAACATAACAGAAGGAGAGAGGCATGGTATCTCTAATGTCTTTGTTATTATTTGCGAAGAGGGAGGTGTGCTACATTTCAGACTGTCATTAGCTGCCCCATAAAGCGTGTAGAGGAGAAAAATTATACTACAGTAACCTTCAATGCCCCTGCTAGGTGGGAGTTTGTATTGACAGCACAGGAAAGAAAGTGCCCATTCCTCCCTTCCGTCTCATCATGCTATTCAGATGCATCCTCATTTCTCATTCCCAGAGAGCAGACTCAGAAATACAGGTCTGTGATCTGTCCCCATTTTGTTCATGCTAAAAAGTTTTATTTTTAAATATAATTTTAATTTTAGAATTAAATATGCTGAGGGGAGCAAAAGTGGGAGAGACCAGGCTTCACCCAGACTGTGGGGAGTGCATCAGGAGGTATTTTACAAGTTCGTGGCAGGGCTGATAGAAGGCCCCACTTCAAAGGGAAGAGGATGCATGTTTGTTATCAATATTTCAAGGACCCTTCCACTCAACTAGTGATTCAGACAGAGACTGGCTGGAGGGAGAACAGATTTATTCTTCAGTTAGTTCTGGTGTCTGTCTAAAGCTTGTACCCTAAGGCAGTACACTAGAAGCAAATGTCAGACCCTTGGCCAAGAAAGTCAAGTTTCCTATAGCATGTTCTGGGATGAAGGATGAGGAATTCCTGGATGGGCATATTCTCTCTTTTTTTTTTTTTTTTTGGGGGGGGTCAAGACACCTTTCTGTAGATCCTGTCTCATCCCAAAATGTATTTCAGAGGGTAGTCGTTCAGTTGTCAAACACGGTCCCAGGTTAGCATCTAGATTCAATAGAAAAAGTGTCCTGAAATTACAGTTTTGTATAGCACCTGCATGGTTTTGATATACCATAGCTGGATAACAACCAATTTGCCTAAGATACTTGTGAGGCTGTGGATCTTGCATGTGGAGAGGGAGAGGTATTAGAATCACCAAAATCTCTTTGCAGGAGGGCTACTTGCTCTGAGCTTGCCAGCAGTCAGCAGGTCAGTGTCCACCAGGTTGGGAAAACTGTTAAATATGTGGTAGCTCTGTAAGAAAGCCCAAAGATCTCATGACCCCTCTGCTACTTAGAGGAATCTTGGGCAGGAGTGATCCAAAATAAGAAACGTTTTGATCAACCAACAGGCAGTACTGATCTACAGGCCTGGAAAGGATGACGCTAGCCTTCACGTTGCTCTTGCATGTAATAGTTATAGATTAGCTTGGAAGTTGCAGCAGTGCATGTGGTTTCCTTGCTGAATGGTAAGGAAGTGGGCATAAGGCCTGAAATGTGGGTCTGATGAGCTTTTATTTTTTCCCCATCCTCCTCACTTGTCCACACCGCTTGTCTTCAAGAAGCTAAAAGAAAAATGGTGGAATTTTCACTCTCCTCAGGAAAGTGCACAAGTCTGAAGGACAGGCCCAGATGGGTCCAGGCAGCAGAAGAAAAGAAATGTCCTTGAGGCCTGCAGAAGAAAGCCACAGTGGCCAAAATACAGTACAGAGAAATTCCTCCTTCTGTCTGCGGTAATAGTTTCCTCCATTCATGTGCATGCCTTCTATGTTGGTCTGAGGATTCAGACTCATTCATTGGTCTCTCCTTCCCCACCTGCCAGATATAAAAGAAATAAAGATGGAATTTGGACCAGTGCATATGGCTCTCTCAGATGCATTGCTTTTCCTTGGCATGGTGTCCTCCTTTGCTCCTCATCTGTTTTATTTAATCAGAGCCTGTTCTCTCTCTAGCTGTAGCTGAACTCAGTGCAGCAGAGACTAGCTCCTGGTCCTGGTGAAATATTAGGTATTTCACCAAACACTGCCTTGGCATTTGAGAGAGCGAAAAATCTTGACTCACTGGTCTTGGATCTCGGTACTAGGTAACATGGTCATTGTGACAATACACTAGGATGTCCTAAAGTTTCAGACAATCTGCTAGAATACAGAGCTGGGCATGATAGATTTTTTGTTTTTGGTGGGGAAAAAAATCAATTTGTGTTGAAGCAAAAACAATTGCTTTTCATTTTTTGGCAAACGGATATATTCCACTTTTGTGTTTAACCCAAAATATTTCATTTGACTTGAAATTATTGTTTCCTAGCTATTTAGTCCTTTTCATAAGTCCTTTTTAAAATTTAGCCTAATTTTTAATACTAAATGCAGAGGCAAAGCCCTCTGACTCTGTGGGCCAGATCCAGTGTTTTTTCAGGCCAGATGGGCTGTATGTTGCCAACACCTGCTCTGATGGATCAAAGCACTGAGTAATGAAAGAAGGAACTACAGTAGCTTCTGCCCCAGTTCATGGGACATCCTCCAAAAAGCACACACTTAACATGGATCTGAGAACTCCCCAGTCTGTTCCTACTTTAGGTTGCACATTCAAAAGAGAGGCATGAACATGGGTTCCCTTTCAACTTGACTGGCTAAGGTGGGGTATCATTGCCGGAGATCAGTGCATTTCCTATACAGGCATACCTCGTTTTATTGCGCTTCGCTTTATTGCGCTTCGCAGATACTGCGTTTTTTACAAATTGAAGGTTTGTGGCAACCCTGCATCGAGCAAGTCTATCAGCACCATTTTTCCATCGGCGCCATTTTTCCAACAGCATTTGCTCACTTCGTGTCTCTGTGTCACATTTTGGTAATTCTCGCAATATTTCAAACTTTTTCATTATTATTATATTTGTTATGGTGAAAGTGGTTTCTTGAGATGGAATCTGCTCCTGGTGAAGATGCTGTGAACATTGTTGAAATGACAACAAAGGATTTAGAATATTACATAAACTTAGTTGATGAAGCAGCAGCAGGGTTTGAGAGGATTGACTCCAATTTTGAAAGAAGTTCTATTGTGGGTAAAAAGCTATCAAACAGCATCGCATGCTACAGAGAAATCTTTTGTGAAAGGAAGAGTCAATCGATGCGGCAAACTTCATTGTTGTCTTATTTTAAGAAATTGCCACAGCCACCCCAGCCTTCAGCAACCACCACCCTGATCAGTCAGCAGCCATCAACATCAAGGCAAGACCCTCCACCAGCAAAAAGATTATGACTCGCTGAGGGCTCAGATGATGGTTAGCATTTTTTAGCAATAAAGTATTTTTTTAATTAAGGTATGTACATTGTTTTTTTAGACATAATGCTATTGCACACTTAATAGACTACAGTATAGTGTAAACATAACTTTTATATGCACTGGGAAACCAAAAAATTTGTGTGACTCGCTTTATTGCGATATTTGCTTTATTGCGGTGGTCTGGAACCGAACCTGCAATATCTCTGAGGTATGCCTGTACTTGTATCATCTTGCGCTGGCCAGTGGCAAGAGCTCTAGATACGTTCTTATGCCTCCTTGGCTTTATACCTCAGCCAGAAGTCTCTTATCTGCACCCACAATACATATGCCATGTTTAGAGAATCCAGATCATATGTGGTCTGGATAGAAACCACCTGTCCTTGCCTCTCCCCGTTTTCTGTTTTGTAACACAAAAATAAAGCTTGGGAGAAGATATCACAGAAAACAGTCCAGGATCCTCTGCCCCTCTGAAATTGCACAAGTCAAGTAAGGTTGTTGGAAGATTTTTTACATCATTTTCAGCATGCAGAAATGGAGTTAAATGAATAATTAATCCAAATTTTAGCTGGGTGTTGCCTTCAGAATAGGTCTACCGAGAAGACCAAAGCCCTCTCTGAAGGTGGCCTTTGTGAATGGAAAGTCAACAGGAGCTTAACACAGAAGTAAAGCACTACCTGCAGGAAATGTCCCATCTTCCCAGTACCAAGCTAGTCTCCTTCTGGTTTCTCAGGAGCAGTAGGATTCTGTTTGTCATATGTCTTCTGTTCATTGCTGTCCAAGCACCTGGGCTCTTGAAATCAAGATGACATTTAATAAGCATCCCTTGTACTCTAAAACAAAAATATCTCAGATTGTTTCCTCCATATCTTTCCTGCTTTCTCCCCCACTTCCCCCACTTTGTGATAACATCTTACGCAGGCCATGAACAGTGCAGGCTGCTGTACAATAGTGTAGATGAAAAAATAGCTGCCCTGTATTTATCGTAAATTAGCTCCGAAGAGCAGCTCCTTCCCTCCATTCAGCTCAGCAACAATTGTTTATGCAAACGTGTTATTTGCATCACGCTTTCTTATTTTTGAAAGTCTTAATTATTAAAAAACAAATCTTATTTCTTTTTTTCAGTCTTTGTTTTTTAATCCCAGCTTTGTGTATAGTTTTTCCAGTTTAAAAATATCCAGCCCTTCAGCACAGAGAGAATGTAGGGAGAAAATCTCCACAATGCCATCTAATAGGAGATCTGAAGGAGCAAGAAAGTTCATCCGGTTGCTTAGTTTAGCTGTGCAAGCTACGGGGGAGACGTTGGTTATTTATGGATGTAGTTTGTGAGATTGAACAGGACTGTAAGAGTAGAGATGAGTCCAAAGCAAAACCCTTGTGCACAGCTTCAACTAAGGGTTGTCAGCGAACCACATCAGAGTCCCATGAGATTTGGGGAGGTTCTAGATTTCGGAGTTCTAAGGTTGAGTGTTTTTCTCTCAAGTTTTATTTCAGTCCATTTTAGAGAGATGTCTGAATTGTTACACCACTGGCCTCACTTACTGCTTTGTTGATGTAAAGACGTCTTAAAGTATAATCAGGAATTCAGCCCAGGCTATATGCAACTGGATTTAAGAGTTTCTTACACCTATTTTACAGTATGTTGCAGAGATGGTTAAATGGCATCAGATATAATAACTAACCTGAGCTCTTACCTAATTTGAACTGAAGTGTGAGCCACAGCATTAGGGCATTCCTGTGACGCCTTGTCAGTCTGCGACACAGTTGCAGTGGGACATTGTAAATTGATTTTGCTAGCCATATTCGCACAGAGGCATTACATGCTACAGATCTAGCTGACCCCAAAGGATGTTTGCAGAGGCAGAATGCAAGACTGGAAGTGCAAGCACATGCACACTGCTCCGTCATTCCAAAGGGACCTTTTATTTTATTTTTTATTTTTACCTTGCAAAAAATTAGCAAAAAGAAGTATAATGTAAATCAGTGGTCTCCAACTTTTTAAAGTAGGAGATCACCTTTGGTGTTTAAAAACAACGCAAGATGTACTGTGCGCCGCGGCCACCAACCCCGCCCCTTGCCCAGCAGGTAAGTTTGTGGGGAAAGAAAGCGGGGGACAGATTGAGGCAGAAAAAATTATTTGAGGGCACGCCTCCCCAGCAGGTAAATCCCACCTGGCTTGAGTCCCACTCAATTTATCTCAACTCCTGCCTCTGCGGCACTATCCCTCACCAAGGGGGCCTCAATCTAGCCCCTGACCCTTCCCTCCCCCACGGACTGACCCATTGGGCTAGGGTGCATGCGTGTATGCATGTAGGCACTTAGCCCCCACCCCAGCCTCGGATTGACTCCAAGAGGCTCTGAGATCTACTGGTGGATCAAGATCCAGTGGTTGGTGATCACTGATGTAAGTTAAGTAACTACAGAGCAGATACCAGTATATTCAATGCACTTTTCTATCATTTAAAGTTTAAGCACTAGCAGGTGTAAGTCCTCTTTCCTTCAAATCTTCAGGCATAAAGAGATTTCTCCCTGAGTTCATGAAATGCACTGCGGCATTGGCATGAACTATCCAACGTATAGCAATTTTTTAAAGGTGTTGTCATTTTTTATATGCAGATTGAAAACTGATTTGAATCACTAGGTGGATAGGTGGCTCACTGATAAAAGGCATTGGTCCCTGGATATATGCAGCGTTACTTGTATAGGTTCATAGGGAAGTGGGGCTGGAAGGAATCTTGCAAGGTCATCTAGTCCAGCCTCCTGCTCAAGGCAGGACCATCCCTGACTAAACTATCTCAGCCAAGCGTCTGGCTAACCTGCTCTTGACAATTTCCAGGGAAGAAGATCCTACAACTTCTTTAGGTAGCCTGTTCCAATGCCTAGTGACCCTCATAGTCAGAAAGTTCCTCCTAATAGCTGTAGGATTTTGAAGTTGATAGAGGGATCCCATGTCATACTACATGGCCTTCCATCCTGAGTTCGCTTTCAGGGCTTCATTTTGACATACCTTGATAGCATAGGGGACAGTGACATTTTGGTATGACTCGTTTTACTTTCACTTGTCCTGAAATTGGCCCTAAACAATGTCTCATGACATTGTGATATCAAAAAGGCATGAAGAACTGAATTTGTTCCAGTCAGACTAATTGAAAAGGTTGCTATCACAGATGTCATTTATTTAGTAGTATCAGTCCAGTTCTTCATAGACTTTTATCTAGATCATACGCTACTTTGGTAGGTCATTTCAGAGGAGACCTGGGACTGGAAATGCAAAATTACAGAAGGGCAGGACTGAGGGAAATCTGAAAGACAGAAAGCTTGCATGCCAGCCCCCAGTGGCTTTTGGGCTGAGCTATGATTCCTTCCCTGTCACAGACACTAAGAATTCACCCGCACTGGGGAGTACCTACCTGTTTCTCTACTACCACATATAATAAATTCAATTCTTGCATGCCGCCGCCTCTTATTTAGAATGAAGCCAGAGCAGCACTGCTAGTATATGTGTATTGGAAATTACTTCTCAGAGTGGCAATACTGAGAGCGGCTTGTCACTGTTCAGTGGGAAATGTTTGTGAAGAGGCTTTGGAGGAAA